AGGTGCTTGGACAAATAAACGGTTCCATATTTCGACAAATGGTCAGCGCGTATGTCCGCCCCCATGTCGAATGCGCAATTCAAGCCTGGCATCCATGGCTAAAGCACGACTTTTCTGCACTGGAGCAGCCACAACCTCGGGCATCTAAGAACGTAATTGGAATGCGCTAGCATTCATACCAAGAGAGGCTGCAACAATTTGTGGTGTTCAGTGGAAGCTATCGCTGAATACGAGGCGACCTGATTATGGCATACTTTATTCTGCCAGACTCACATCATGTGCCACCCTTTACTTCAACAGCAGCAAAACAAACCCGAGGGCCCACTCACTGAAACTCGCTGTAGAGTATAGCCTCCTGGAGCGTCGCAGAAATTTCTTTTCCATTTGTGTCTGTCACTCGTGGAATGTTCTCCCAGCATCGGTCGTCTCTGTGCCGACACTAACAGTATTTAAAAGAGGGTTGGATGATGCACTCATATACTTACACTTTGTCACTTAGCACTACGTCTTCATCCTACACCTGGAGTTTACCATGTACTTATTTGAAGTTAACTGCGGGCGCTGTGAATCCAAGTGGATTTCAGAACTACGGCGGAGCAAACGTTAAGTCCGTATTTTCATATTTAAAGTCTTAATTATTTTACTAGCATTGGTATCATTATTGTTACGTCGCTATTCCCAACAACTATTCAACGGGACTTCTAAAACAAAGCATTCTAACCCGTATAAATCCATTATTCATTGTTATCCTTTGACAGACAGGCGAACGTATTACTGCAAAACAAACTGTTGCTGCATTAAATTGCTCTCACAATTAAGACACGAATACTCAGATAACTGCCGCTGCAAAACTATTTTTTTCTCTTGCAAACGGATCCGCAGTTTTAATACAAAGAGATTTTCGTCGTGTAATTATTATGTTAACCCTATTTCAGGACCTTGATCATGTTCAATTTGCCTCCGTGTTCCGTAGAAATAGATTTAAGATGCTAACAGGTCAAATAATTGAGATTTTTGGCTTAATTCGCTGAAGCTACAAGTGTAATTATTATTGTGGATTATCATTACTGACAGGAGTACTGCTTGATCATTACCAATGGAGTTAAAGCTGTGGTCATCATATTTATTACTTAGGCTATTTATTTAGTTTTTTCGCAGGAGTTTTAAAATCAGACAGTCTTTGTAAGCTTTGAAAAGCATTAGGATGAAGTACCAAACACTTTTGCATTGTATTGCGCATACTTCGGATATATCATGTTTCTTATCGTCCAAATATTACTTTACAATATTCTACTTATGAGCTATTATCACTATGTACCAACTGACAGCTAGCAAGATTTTCGTATAGACAACCATTGTTATATTTATTGACATGCGCATTATATGTATGATTCGATAAATTTTTATGTTTACAAAACACAAAGTTAGTGAATAAATCCTTCCGAATATATTATAGGATGCGCAAATTTATTTGTATCTAGACAAGGTGAATAATATGAATTCCTATGAACGACACTGAGAGCATCGACTGGCATGACTCAAGTATTGATCCAACAACGATTTGAACCATGTGAGTGTCAGTAGCATTATCAAAGCTTGCATTATGAGGAAGGGATCTTCTTAAATTAGTGTACCCAGAGCTGTACTTTCTGCTCTGGCCGCTCAGTAAGCTACAGTGTCAGTAACTAGCACTCCGCGCGAATAAATCTGATTAAACTGTTTCAGGGAAAATAGTCATCCACATTTGTGGTTTAGTGATAAATATCCTTGAAGGCCGAGTGTTGTTATCTTTATTGAAGTTATTTTATGTACCAGCGTTGCATAAAAATTACAATTGTTAGTACCAATAATAAAGTATCGGTTGGTTCAAAACTATCGCTCAGCTTCACCAATCAAATGTACTTTTATGGACCATTTTATATTTTGTAGCGAAAATGTAAGATATAAGTTGATTTCTATTGGTTAAATCTTTTCTTTAACAAGAGAAAGTTTCCTACCAAAATCGGGAATGCAGTCCTCCCAAATTATAATGTCTTGTTGCGTTTTAGGAATTTTAACAAGACAACTAGTCAGCTCAAATATTTACTAATTTTGCAGCACCTTGCTTGAATGTACAGGCATTTGATAAAATTTATCAACTATTTTTGTGTTTACATGCTATCCAAGCATTTGAAAACAATGCACACATGAGTTCGTTCTTAATTCCATGTATATGACAAATTATGCCATACAAGGGACGAATAAACATTTGCGATTTGAGTTTCTGTACAACAATCAAACAGTTTAAGGGAATTGCTCAGAGGTATTCTGAGTAAGTGTACTTTGAATCCGAAAGTTTAAAAAGAATATCCAATTCTTTTATATATGTTACCTCCTACTAATTCAGATGTGGTTATAAAGACATTATGCTGTATGATAGCGAACGTTATGCCGTCGGTAAGCAATGTCTGCTTAAAGAGTACCTTAAGAATTTGAGTAGGAAAATGTTTAACGCTTCAACTTGAAACCATTCTAAATGTTTCAACATGTGAAAAGAACAGATAAAGTTTCGTTGCTTGTAGACCGAGCTTGCCTTTCAAATTTTTACATTCACCTGGACAAATGCAACTTTTGGGTAAACTTAGTTCAGCTACAACACAGTATAAAGTGTCTTCTATAACACATTAGATGGATTTTATGTACTGGCCATAGTAAGTAAAACATCCAAAATTGTCTTACGAATTCGATAACTTGAATTTCAATTCAAGTCGAATCAAGAATGTGCTTTTGTGTATGCACTAAGTGTACTGAACACTTATACCAATAATAAAAATGCGAGTTGCTTTATCGCAGTTTAAACGGCAGAGAAATTATGTTAACTAAAATAGTCTCTCAGGTATAAGAGTTACCTGGCCAAGCAGAAATTCGGCTGCATAGAAAATAACGGAGATGTAAACCCGCTTTTCAGCATGTCAGTCTAGTTCTGTCTATTGGATGAATCGATTATTGATTTATGTAGTGCACTGTAAAGGGAGGACTTATTATAATCATTTTCGAAGCAACTTTGTGCATTTTCTATCATTAGTATATAAAATAGTCCGGACAAAACTTGGTTTTGGAAAGCATCCTTTACGAGACGAGTCCTTTAGCGACCTGCAAATATGTTTTGAAATGCTTACATAATAGGTCTGGAACAAATACAGAATAATGGTAAGCCCAGTGTAACAACTATTTGCATGAATGAACCTCTGAATTAAAATGTGTGGGACGGAAGCTGATCACAATGGAGCTATTGTCAATAAAGGATCGTATAATATTTGTGAGTATTTCATTTACATTAAGTAACCACAATAAATGTACCTCAGTGCGATTCCGGAAAATTTTGCTGGTTTAGGTAATCAAAAGTTCTCAATATTAATCTGAACTTTAGATCTTGATAGCCAACAAATTAAAGTGTAAGGAGAAAGTAATTGTGTTTTGCCTCAAGAAGCTGGATTTCGGCCATTTTATTAATTTGCTTAAGCCATTTTGCAGCTTCGTCAAATAGGAAAAGATTGGATGACTAGAATTCCAAGGTTACGTTCTCAGCATATCCAGGCATATCAGGTTCTTTGGGGACAGGTATAGAGCCAAATAGGTTACATAATAAGAATTATAACGGATAACTTTGCGACGAACACCATAATTTGAGTGGACATTATGCCTCCAAAGTTATTGATCAGAGTGCGTTCACAAATAAAATTTATCGGTATGTGATTCAAAAAGCTTTGCATAGAGGAATTGAGTAGATTTTACGGTAGCGTTATACACTTAGGACAGCAGAAATCCTTACCGTATTATTTATTTTCTAGAGACGATAATAGCTGAACGTACTAGAAAAGCCAATTAATCTTATATTGACCAAAGCCTCCTGCATATTGACTGATATGAGTCCATTAAACTGGATTGTGCTGGCATAAATGTGCAGCCTGATAATAAAAAGAATTTCCTACGGAACATTAAAATCAAGCCTATAAACAGTATTTTTTCAGATGCAATTAACTTTTCTTATCGCAAACAAGTAATTAGAAGGTTTTCCTTCTTGATAGCCCAAATCTATACAGGACAGTTGCGATATGGTGTAATTGTAATCGATGCAGCCTACTTGCTGGTGGGTTAATACATTACTGTTCATTTGTATCACTATATCACTTCAAAATCTGTGCATGCAAATTCTGTTAAGAAGCATTTAGTCTTGGGGAATGTCTGTATGGGGGCTACAGTGTTTGGTATTGAAATACATCTATGACGTTTACGAGAAATATTAAAAGTATAGTGCAAATATCTCGCAACGCACACGCCAAATGCTCATCGATTATTTGTTATCAGTACACATAGAGATGCATCGGAAGATTGTAGAGGATCAAAGGTGTTGAGCTTTTAGTAAACAAAATAAATTGACTGTCTCTAGCTAGTATACTCATTAACGTTTTCTAACCAATTTATCAGTACAGGGCAAATTTGAAGTAATTTAGTTTGGGATAGCGTTTTGTTCCAAAGTGCGCAACGGCCAACTTCATTCATGATAGACAAAACAATCGCAATTTCTCTCTGTTTTACACCAAATGGGTTTCAACAACTGCGTGGTTGACGTTCAACACAACGTATTAATGCACACTATGGATCGGATATTGTGAACAATTCGCCATATACCATGCCAAATGTGCATTTGTTGAACAACAATTTTGATAAAGAAATTTCCACATGTCTCAGGAAACAGGGTTCGGCGTGATTCGATGACAAACGCATATTTACGCTGGTAACACATGTGGAGAAAAGCAACGGACTTTGGAAATTTGACAACCAAAATTCAATTAAGCATTTGAACCTAATCGCAAGCTAACAACAATATTCCTACCTTCTTGAAAATTTTTCTATTCACTGGGATCTTTGATATTAGGTGAGTCCGTAAGATCGCTGAATTCTGACTTTTAATATAAACATATTTTTATTGCAAATTTCAAACAGAACTTGTTAGCTGTCTCCGATGGATGTAACATTATTCGCTTCCGTAAAACTTTAGCTTACTCCTTGCGTATGTGATATGCCCCCGTTTTGGGTTGCTTCACTCAACTCGCTGTATTCAGCCCCCACCTCCTTTAACCGCATCGATTCTAAAGTCTGGTCACCATTCCATGCGTATTGCTTAGTTGTCTCAGCTGCATTATGGTCCTGACACAGAGAAGTTTTGACCTTCATGAATGTCCCTTGTGTCCCGGCCATGAAATCGATTGTCTGATAACGTTTTTCTGCGCTTGTGTTTCGTGTCTGTCGGCTGTTAACGAGTCCAGTGTTTGCTGTTGGAGCCGACATATTTTTCTTTGATGAGCCTTCTGGAAAATCTCCTGGCTGCTTGTTACTTATCAAGTTGGGGTTTTCGCAAACGGATTCTGATAAACTTAACAGTTCGAGAGAATTACTCAAATGTTGGTCTGAAAAAGTTAGAGAAGAGACAAAGTAGATAATTAGCAACTTTAAACCGCTTCGTCATGTTAACTGTTACATTGCGAATTGAGAACATGTATATTCCTCCTAGACAAAAATTTGCAGCCCATTCAAACTGCTTATAAAAAGCTATATAGGTGCGAGCACAAACAATAGCATCATGTGTAATTTGCAGTATGTTTGCAACACCTAAATTGCGTAATATAGAAGAAAAAACTAAAAGTGAGCACATCAAAATAGAGTTACAACTAAAATACCGCTAGATATAACTTCCGTAAGTCAACAGTTAGCCAAACCACGTAAGGCTGGTAATACACTTCGCCCTGCAAGGTCTACCTCGTCCGACCAAAGGCATTATAACCTCGGGATATTCAACGCGCTAGAGTCCAGTGATCCATCAACTTAAGTGCGCTGTGGTCACGATGTCAAGTTTTACAGAGTCCACTTGACAGATTCCTCGGTAAAAGTGAGGCAAATTACTCGTTTTGGAAAGCAAAGTGATCAACGAAATCGGCCAATGAGTAACACTTTTATGGACGAAGCCAGGCCATGTCTGATCATGTCCCGCCTAAATAGGTTGAAAGGTTTGAAGATGGTTGTTCGTCCAGACCTGGACCCAGTAGAAAGGGAGCGGCTCACATATGCCATCGTTGAGCTGAAAAAGCGTACTGGTGAGGAGGAAACAAATCTTCGTATCGTTAATTTTCGGGTGGTTTCCAACAAGTTGCCAATAAGGATAAACAGGCTGCTCACATTTCAAGCGCGCCCGGCGGCCCATGCTGCGGCCTATGAGTAGCTTTCACAAATGTTTGCAGTTTTATGATCAAACGCAATGCGCTCTGTTGGTTCGTTGCTTTTGAGTGGCCAGACATAGTGAGACTCACAGAGACGTGGCTGCATGCAGAGTTACACAACCAAGAAACTGAACTCAACGGTTACTCGTGCTTCCGATGCGAAAAAGTAAAGAATACCCTAGGTGGTGTCTGAATTTACATCCGGTTATCCCTGCGTGGGAGACTTGTAAGCACATACAGAAGTGATGCTGGCTTGTGTAAGCTATTGTGGTGCTCCATCCGCCTCAGGCGCGCAGAACTGCTTGTGGGTGCAGTTTTTCGCAGTCCCCTGAGTCGTTGTTAGGATTGGCTGCGCCATATTCGAATCCACGTGAGTCGTCCACACTTTGTACTTATGAGCGATCTTAACTGTCCTCGAATACGATGGCCTGATGTGCATTTGATGGCTGAACATAGTGAGGTTTAAGCAAAGTTCTTGGATTTGGTACTAGAAACTTGTGTGTGGCAACACATATGCCAGCCAACACGTATAACAACACACAAACCCGTCCTGTCTCGATATGATATTAACGAGCTACGAATAACGAGTGCGTGACGTTAAGATCATGGAGCGCCTGGTTACAAGCGACCATTCAGTGCTCATAATTGGTATGGAATTATCTTGGCGGTATTCACGTCCGCTGGAACCAGCTCCCAACTACAGGAAAAAGGACTCCGATGGTCTAGCTCGAGCAGCGAGCCAAATGGATTAGTCTCTGTCACAAGCTGCATCTGTGGAAGGTAGTTGAACATTTATAAAAGAGAGATTGACGTCATTGTGCTAACAATCTGTGCCACTGAAATATCGGATGTTTGGACCGATTAAGCTTAAGTGGTTTGAGAAAGAGTATGTAAATCTGGCTCGGAGGCGGGTGGCAGACTGAATGACCAATTCCTCCTATCTGGAAGGGTATAAAGTCAGCGAACCTCTGCAACAGTGTAAAAAATAACCGCCAACATTTCGAAGAGTAGCTCGCAATAGATGCGAAGACCGCCCCAGAGATAATGTTTGCATAAGTGAAGTGAGGCCTGAAGCCGGTAGGTGATGTGCCAGTGCTTGATGTCCCGGATGGACAGCCCCTACCCTCCAGCACTGAGCTTGCGTCTGCGTTGGCCGCGCAATTTGCTTCTGTATTTGCGAATGACCAGTTGTCTTTTCCGTGTTTGACGTGTACCGCTTTTACCGAACTCGACACCCTTGATGGTCAACCGCTTCTTCAAACACCCTCCGTGAAGGTACTATGTGTACTATCGCGCTTCGATCTGAAGTCAGTGAAAAACACGAACAGGCTTTATCGTAACGGACTGCGCATGCTTTGGGCGCTCAAACGTAGCTTCGGCACATAGTCTGAAGAGGTTGCCACTAGCCTCTTCTCTTCCATCCTTAGACCAACGCTAGAGTACGGTTCGCCCGGCTACTTTCTGGTTACCCGAGGCGAGGCACACAAGATCGAGCGGGTCCAACACGTTGCTGCCAGACTAATCCCTAGTTTACGTGGCTTGGGGTATGAAGACCGGTGCTAGAAACTAGGACTATACACCTTGTTCTACCATCGGGTACGAGTCGACCTCATTATGACATACTGTAACCTACATCTCGGTGAATTCCCAATGCGAAGACTAATGCTGTACTTACGAAGGCCATGTAGCACACGCGGACACAGATACAGACTTGTCGTACCGGATGTGAAAAGTGTTACCCACCCACTGTGCTTTGAACGGAGAGTGGTAAATATTTGCAATAGTTTACCTGAACATGTGATGTAGGCAAAATCTGTGCAGCAGTTCAGAACCTTGTTAGATTTATATTTTACCAATATTAGATTCAGAGAACCGTTGCATGCTTACGACGACAAATCACATTTGTGAGTCCTGCAATACCGTGAGTATTATATTTTAAATTTTACCTGAGAACGACACCGGTATTCCCGGCTGACAAATTTTATAACGTTTTCCACATATTTCGAAATAATTGTGCATAATTCATCTCTAGTTGATCTATAATACAGTATACAATGTTCAGTATTCAGTGTTCATCCCATACACACCATTCAGCTGCACAAGTAATGTTGACTTACTTAAGTAAAAGCTTGGAGCATCGAATTAAATACCGCTTTTAACATAAGCATATATGGCGGAGCAATTGTTCATGGAGTGCCAGGTAGAAAATATGCTTATCTGCTATTTTATTTGGTCTCTACTTCTCAACATTTTCGCAGACCGCTTGAGTGATTTACATTTTTTACATGACGACAAATTATGTATAGTTTTGAAAGAAAATATTACGCCAAAGTATAGATGCTTAATAAACACTGATAACCTATTCCTTAAGCTTCTAGCAATATAACTTGAGTACGTATGGGATATAATGGAAGTCCATTTGCGTTATAAATATTAAGGTAGCTTAAGTACAGATACCCAGAGGCAGCATTATATTTGTGCTTTAAATCATGCTTGGAAAACTTAAACCGATTTAAATATTCAATGAAACGAAGTAGGTTACCAGTCAAAAGTCAAAAGGAATGGAGTCCGGATTCGAATTTAGCAAAATCAACCGTTAATTATCAATAGAAACTTTATAGCCTTCATTTATCTAGCAACGTTAAAAGTGATGTTATCAAACTACCAGTCTACAAAATCGAATAACACGATATCATCGAGATAGTACAGAAATTTCAAGACAGTATCAATGACTACGTCTACAGTATAAGACCAACAAATGAAAATAACTGAATGGACTGAGAAGAACTTTTTACTTTAGTTCGAACATAAGCCTTAGCTGTTGTTATAAGCTTTGCTTCAAATCGGAACACCTTCCTGACATGATTCGAAATATACCTAATACGCCCTAATTGTTTAACTCAATTTTAGAAAGGACTAAAAGATTTTCTCTGATAATACTGAATGCGCCGATTAGCCAAATGGATTCGAATCAGCACTGCCTAAGTGACATTGCCACCAAATGTCTAGGACTGAAGTTGAAACATGCAGATTCGCACAACAGCACCTATACACAAAATATTACGGTTACTAAAAAGGTGTTGCTTACTAACTTATCTAAGTACAACTAAGGCCATTTTGACCTTCGTATTTGTTTTTTTCAATGCTATGGCATCTAATACATCAAATATAGATGGAGGTTAATATTCATAAGTTAGATGTTAAATTGAAAACAATTTTTTGTAATGTAATAAGTGCGGTGATCTGAGGAGTGCTGACTTCTTGCTTGCGCAGTTTGCGACTTAACGCAACGACAGCAGATTCGCGGTGGGATCATATTATACCTATGCGAGTTTCGTAGCTATGCGCAACAGATACAAAAGCAATAGTTTATGCGTTGTTCCTTAACTTGCGCTTCCCCTGAATTGCTAACATGAATTAATATATTACAATTTAGTTTTCCCACAATTTGCAAACAAGATAAGCCTTTAAATTCACAGTTAAATTATAGATGTTTTAAAAAATTGTATCGCAATGAAAAACAAGGTGCCAGCATTTTTTGTGACAAGGTATCACGCTCTTCGCCATGAAACGTCCATCTTATTATCTGGTCTTGAATTTTATCAAGCAGAGCAAAAATACTCTATGTATAAATTAGAATGTTTACTTTCCGTAAAACTACAGACGTTGCAGCCTTCAAATCAATGGTTGCGTTTTTTCACCGAACATTATTTTGCTTTGTATACTCTCGATATATCAGTGTTGCAAAAACACAAACATTATCTGTCCAAACTAATTCCATGTTTATTGAGTCCATCCTACTCTATCTATTTTTGAATGTAATTTCCGAGATACTACATACTAGTCTGGAGTTATTGCTATTGTATAAGAAATGAAAGCTGTTAGGAAGAAACAATTTCGTTATTTATACCCCTTACTTGGACGCAAATATTAATGTATCCGGAAAATATAGTACAAGCGTTACTCTCGAAAGCCGAGCTGTAAACTCATTGATGGTGTATTATCATTCACAGTTTACTCAGTTTTAAACACCATGTTTTGTACCAATTTCGTAATTTAACTATCGATAACTCAAAATTCAAAAACGCACCCGTTTGGGTGCATTTAGCTTGCCTTTTTCTAATTTGCTATAGATTGTGAAATCAACAAACCAATAGTTCTTCCGCATTTATGTTGGGTGTATTAACCAGTCTTCCTGTATTAACAGTTGCGAAACAGCGCGCTGCTTTTGTCCAACATATCAAAAACCGGATTTTTTTAATTAGACATTTTGTCCCCACACTGAATTTCACAAAAAGATTGCTGCCAACGCCCACGTATTGTTAACGGTGCTTAAAATAATTCTTAAAAATAATTGTTACACTTAATGCGTAAATATTTCATGTGTCATCAAATCTCCTATGTGTTACGGATCCATTTCAAACGGGCACTAAATAAAAAAGTGAATCGTAGCGTTCAGTCGGTAGACTGTTGATCTCAAATATGCGATTTGGTCAGAGAAAATGTGAGTTATCTCCAATAGTGATAAAGAAAATAAGGCATCGCAAATTATGATGGCTGTTTTCTCTAAGCAGATCAATAACACGAGTTATCCTGTAAAATTCACTCTATAAATATATGAACTGCTTTACACTATTTAACTATGAAGCAATCAATGCATAGATGTTTCTAAAGACGCAAGGAGGCAGCTGAATCCACAATATCACAGCCACGTATGAATCCTCCATATTTCGTACTAGGATTGCTGATCACTTTCAAACCTACTGCTACCAATCAGCACACCGCAATTTGTTACCAATTGCATGTTGATATGGCGTTCAGAAAAGTGTTAGTTTCTCACTCCGAGTTCTATAATTCCAGGTGACACTTGGACTTATCAGGGGTAAACAAACCCGCAGTTTAATAAGAACGTTTGTTTGGAAAACCTCAATGGTTGACGAATCAACTAATCGATTACAACTTTTTAAAAAAGCAAACTTTACATAGTAACTGAGTACATCAGTATTTCGAAAACCGATGCATAATAACTATACCGTACCCATTCGTCCTGCGTTACGGCAGTGCCGATTCATCGACATGATTATACCCTTTAATAATCTAGGGAATATTGTGGGTGCGTAAAGTGAAGTTAGAGAAAAATTAGGCTTGTTGTGGATTGCACTTGTCCTGTGGCGTGGACAACATCAACGGAAATATCAGACGATTAATTATTGTTGTCTACGAAAACGCCAATATACATGAAAAATGTGTGTATGTATAAAACCGATAACTTATGCGACAAAACGTTAGTTACTGTGTCACTTACTGGCGTAGGTAAAAAATGGATCCTCTGCTCATAGGTCAAAAACAAGTAGCAAATTAAACTTTATGAAACTACACTTCTTAAGCAAGTCTAATTTCAGGGATATAGAAAACGCTCAAAATTGTTATACTATCTAAAAAATGAGCGTTTGTGCACTACACCAAGACGGTGAAACCGATAAGCAAAAATACGTATCAGTGAATCACGGGCAAAGCTGGTCTTCATCAAAGCAAACATTCCCATTTCATTAATATAAGTCAATATCAGAAATTAGTTCAGGGTGAAGAAATCTTTTCGGTAAACTCTCATCGGACCCAAATGTTTACGTAACAGTGATTGTGGGGAAAGCGTCAACTCGGGACTGACTTCTGGACTGTTTGAATGATCAAATCGATAACTTGAGACAGTATCACCAGCTTTTTACCAAGCAGATGTGCATTATGTCACAAAAATAATATAAATGGGACCAATTATACTGCATCTGGATTTACAAGCGGAGTATGCGTGAAACAGGATTTAATTAATGTGCGCTCTATTGCAGCAACAACTGCTGTCGGTATTTAAAAAACCTACATCGCGTTTTTGGTGATCACTTCCTCTACCTATTTGCCAATAAATAGAAGATAGTGAGTTACCATAGAAATCAGTGTTTTTACCTTTGTGTAATAATTTATTATCCGCCACCGTCATTGCTAAGAAGGATTATTACGCAAGTCACTCATGAGACAGTATTTAGCCACCTTTTATTCAAATCAATCAAATTTGTAGTCAAAAGTTACCCTAAGCATTACGAAGAACTTTGTACTACTTAGTGCGCTAGTTATAAAGTCTATTACCTAAAGCTATGCTAATCAGTGTTAATACGGTGAAGTAAAATTAGCTGATGCCCAAAAACGGTAATCCAACAAGTCGACAACCAAGTTCCAAGCATTTTTTCAGGTTTATAGAAATAGTATTTATCCTCTTACAATAATTATGAACAGTTTCGAAGTGATTAAAATATAGTAGGTGTAAGGACAGTCTTTGATAATTTTGCCACTGAGAGAGGGTAACATCAATGAAAAGCTTCGTGTAATCGATGTCGCCATTAGCGGTTTCTTGTACTGATGCATCATCGAGTTGCCCCTTGATATGCGATTCGTTATGTTTACACGGTAAAGCTTACGCGATCAAATGTTTTATAAATACTAAGATATAATCTAAGTAGCAAGAAAACAGTACGCTAGTAAGTAACATGAAAAACAGCGGATCGAATTGCGAGGTCGCTGATGAGCCCAAAATTGCTGGTTCATAATTATTTAATGGTGGTTCCTTTCAACAGAAGCACAACTATTATCATTTGTCAACTGCTAACAGAGTACTGATATAACCGATGAATCCGAAGGGAGTTATCTTTATTTATTACTGCCGTTAAAGAATACTTCCTGTTCAATCAAGCAAATAACACGTTCATATAAAGCAATAGGTAGCCATCTTGTTCTCATTTTATTGACTCAAACCTCCTCCAGTTACAAGTCAGAGTATTCGTACATCAGCTGTTGTCGCTTAATATCCTTTAGTTAGATACTGACATATTTAACTGAAGGGTGTAATACCAGCGGAAAAATTTCAGGGCAGTGAAGGAAGGCATGAAATCGTAACCAGATTTGTTGGACAATTTTCCCTGCAAATTAAATCCGTCTTGCAAATTTACGAACGTGGAAATACAGAATTGCATCTTGAAATTGGAATGCCGGCTTACAAAACTGATTTTACTCACCATCAGTTATATTCTCAACAGTAAGATTTCGCTTGTAAACGGATATTGGTAG